TCGTTAAAATTAGACTCTGTCAAAGCGACACAGGAGCATCATTCTTAAACTCTTGTCTAGATCATGCAGTTGTTAATATGTTGTTGTAAAGGATATATGCCATTAAATCCTTACATTGATGTAATGATGAACCAAATAGGCCTGGCAAAAAATGATTCATGGAGTTGACACCAGATTTATTGGAAGTGAGGTTTAATGTGTTGCTGTCTTGTGTCTTTAAATTGATTCTTGAAATTAGACATAAGAACTTTTGATGACGTTGCTGAAATCACATTTTAGAGGACTGTGATCTAGCCGTGACTGTTTGTTAAATAGGCAGATGAAATTTTGTTTTGTTTGGGGAAATTTGGAACCTGTTTTTTGTTATAGTCTTGTTAATAACCAAAACTTTGGGGGAGACTGGGGAAATGTTGGACTCAGGAGTATAGGTACTCAAAAAATCTATTTCCAACCTCCAAGCTGAGACCAACATAAGGCGATGTGCTTGATAACACAACTTAGTGCAAGTACCTAAACAAAACCACTGTGTGACACGATTATGTTAGAAGGTTATCCTCATGAACAAGTTATGGAGTCTCTGTTTCTCATCTTGTTGGCCAAACACACGGTTGAATATTTTTATTATCATGATTGTGGGAGGAGTAAAGAAGAATTGTATAAAGCTCAACAATCTATTGTCCAGAAAAGGATAAGTTTCAACTGATCTGGTGAAAGCATGAGGTCATATGATTGAATATCTTTATTATCGTGATTGTGGGAAGATTAAAGCAGAATTGTATAAAGCTCAACAATCTATGGTCCAGAAAAGGGACAAGTTTCAAATGATCTGGTGAAAGCACCAAGGATTTGATGTTTTTAATTTATAAATACCAATAGCTAATTAGCCCAATGGAGCAACTATCTTTTGGCATTGAGATATTAGATGTAAAGCACTAAAATGGTGCTGCTTTTCGTCATCGTGAGTTCCCTCCTGGTGCTGTATGCTAAGAAAATCGAAGTAATGTTGGAGAAATGATGCAAAAGGCAAGACATAGGGAAGAATAGAAATGGATATTGGTGAGAGATCCTTTTTCGATTAGAGAAGAATGACATGGAAAGATGGAGGTAATTTATGTTGGAGGATGGAAAGATTAAGTCTGATGACTGGAAATAAATTGTGGCATTCAGGTCGTTGAGTTTGTTGACCACACTGTGCTGTCTAATAGGTTTAAGTAATTCTAATTTACATCAAACTATTGGCCTGGGCCATTGAGAATATATAATATGTTTCTGCCTCACCAGGATATGATTTTTTATTTTTTATATTTTTGTTGAAGAGATAATTATAGATAAGTTTCTCTCATCTCTAGCAGCATAAGCTGTCATTTATGTTCAACAAGGGTTCAAGTCTTACTGCCAAGCATTTATGTCAATCCTTTAACGGGAGGGGACTTGATGGATGTATAAATAATGAATTAGTTAATTCCTATTTATCCTTTTAGATGAGCTAGTAATTAAATGTACTATATAATCATATATTTCAAACTCTTGCATGGTGAAATCATCATTGTTTAGTCTGTGTCTTTTCAATTTCTACTTCCATTTGGATCTTCCATTTGTAATTTGATCTTATGTACGTTGTTATTCTCTTTTGGAGTTCAACAATCAGCTTTATGTATTTTTGATACATGTTATAAGTTCTCTATTTTGCAGGTTCGCATGTGGCAGCGAGATTCAAGGGATAGGACAATATTGCAACCTACTCCAGCTGCAGCTATCGATGTTAGTTAACATCGTTTGAGCATTGTGCTTTTTCTTATTATATATAGCCCTTGTTTGATTCCCTTTTTCTCCAAAATATATTCTCTCTTTTTTTCAACCACACATTCTTCAATAAAATAATATTATACGTAAATCCAAAAATTTTCCTTATTTTTTAATTGTACATTTTTCTTCAATCTACTATTCCGAAATCCATTGAAACATTTTAATGGGGCTCAAACATGCTCATAATATAAGACATCCTAATCCCATTTGTTCCATGAACTGTATGTACGAGTTGTCAATGGATGTGATATAATAATCCTACCACTCACCCATGGAATTACTGCTGATTGCCTTCTATTTTCTCTTCTGTTTGATCATTGATGCAGATGTTGCCTTCTTCTGCCTACTTAGATAATCCATCCACAAGTTTTGCTGCGAAGTTTGTGCATACCTCATTAAACAAAAATCGGTGTTCAATCAATCGAGTTTTGGTGAGTTGAGGCAAAGACTTTGTCTTCACTTCTCTTTGTGTCTGTCTCTTTGGTTCTGTGTGTGTCTTTGCATCTGCATACAAAAAGACTGACATCGTACACTATTTCGTCCTTATCATATTATGCCTATGAGGTGATTTCTATCAGTTTGTTTTATGCGCCTCCTTGTTTTCATCTGCATTTGTATGTCTACGTTATTATTACCTCCGTCCCATAAAGATATGTTTGTTTATATGTTCACACATTAAGAAAATGTAATTAATATAGTTGAAAATTTATTTTTTTTCTTACGCTTTTCCTAATATGCCCCTACATTTAGTAATGATTTAAATAAGATTAGTTTATATTTGTTGATAACAAGGTACATTAAGCCCTTGTTTGGTTTAAAATCAAATAGTAGGGAAAATTTATTTTGGAATAATTATTTTTTGAAGAATACGTGGTTAAAAAAGAAGGAAATTTTTTTGATTTACGTATAATATTATTTTATTGGAGAATATGTGATTGAAAAGAAATGAAGAAAAATGCATTTGGAATAAAATAGAGCCCAAACAGGGGCTAAATAAGGACATATTAAAAAACTAAAAAATATTTATACTTTTAACAAGGAAAGTGGTCTATAATTTTGGGATTGACGAAAAAAGAAACCAAGCCTATTTTTATGGGACGGAGGTAATACTTTTTATTCTTTCCTAAGAGGATTTCTATTTCTTTTCAATTTTGATTTGTAAACAAGTTTTTGCTTTCTAACATTAATTTTTGAAGGCAGTTGTTAGCCTCATGCTGTTTTCCTTAGCTGCATTATGACAGAAGAAGATTTCTAGCTTCACCAAGGGTGCCTTGACACATATTCTAGAAGATATCCTTGTGGCCTGTGTTACCTATCTTTATTGTTGTGCATTTAACCCAAAAGGTTAGAACATGACATAAAGTAGGGGAATAATCTTTCACCGAAAATATTGTAGGATGTGCTTTCAACCTGAAATGTCATGGATAGGGGAATAAGGGGAGGCCGAATCTGTTATATAATTTAGTGGTTGCTTTTTAATTTTCTTGGTCAATTTTTCCTTGATATCTTGGTTTAAAGCTTAAAATCCAATATCATTTTTTCAAGTTTAGATATTTTTGCTCAAGAAATTGATAAATTTTCTGTTCAGGCTTATTTTTTATGGAGTGAAAATTGATCGGTTGAAATTGAGGTACTATCATTTTCTATATTCTATGTTAACAAAAAAGCTGATATATTAGGAAATTTTTTGAAAAGGAGAGTTTTGGGTTGTCTGCTTGCGGAGCCATTGCCCTCTCTGGAATTGTGAGAGTATTTCTAATACAATTGCTTTTCCTTTTTTTTTTTTTCTAAACCTTCATAATTAAGCATTGTTTTTGCATTCCAATAATACAAGTCAAACCATTAACCCAATTCAGCTCCATTTCTGCAAAACCCCAGGCTTCCAAATTGCAATAGCCAAATCCCATTCAATCACCGTTACCCAGCTGCCCATTCTGTCCTTCAGTGGATAATAGATCCATCGTTTTGCAGCGGTCAGCCCTTTGCTCCGCTACTGAACAGAAACCTCAACAATGCACTGCAAATTTGATTGGAGAAGACAAAAATGAGAGAAGTCGCCTTTGACAGATTCTAATGATCTGAAGGTATTTACAAAGTGATATATGGAATCCCTAAATGACAATGGATCGTCCTACACTATTTATAGGCATACAGACTTGTTACAAAAATAACCAACTAATACTACAGAATTGCAATAATGCCACTACGATTTGGCAAAAGCCTGGCAGTGATGTGGCATGACGTCAAGACTCAATGTGGACACCAACTCTTCTTCTTCAACACCATTCAAACTCTGGAGACCCCGATGGCTGTTTCTAAATGCACCTTACAAAGATTATAAACCACAGTATTCCAGTCTTCTGTATCGACATAAAGTCACACCTTAAACTGAATTAATAGTGTAGTCATCATTATGTGCATGGTTAACTGATCTTCCCTTGGGAACAATGATCCATGCACGCTATTTTTGGGTTGCTGATTCAAGTATTCAAATTTTTTTGGCATTTGACTGTTCAGGAAGCTGTGTCGTAAAGGATATGAAATGCAATATCAGGATATTTTATCCTCCATTCCTTGCATGTTCTAGATTTTGCTTTAGCAAGTGATGGAAATTCTATGTAGGCTGCAGGACAGACACTATATTAGTATAAAGCTTGTCATTAATTCATGATTCTCCTTATTTCTAATTATCATGGCATTAGGATTTGATTATGGTTCAATCCAAAAAATTTCCGAATTAAGTCCTCTCACGGATCTGATACCTGGCTCAACCCTGCTTGTATCATTAGTTCAAAGTGACGTCTGGGACTCCTTATGAATTATAATGTGCCTGATACTTTAATAATAAGTTTGGAGTTATATGATTTATTTTAAGATCTTTCTCTTTTTGTACATTGAAACCTAAATATCCATATCTTGGATGCTTTTGAAGAGTGTAGTGATTGCAGGATTTGCTAAGCTTAAAATATTATAAGTGAGTAAGTTTACTTTAAAATAAATAAGTTTCTTCTTTGTCAAAGTTGGAAGTACATAGGTTATTTATTTAGAAAAAAATAATCCTTATCCTCATGTCAACTGGCATTTATACGCATGGACAGTCATTTAATTTCGACAGTCATTATCCTCACTTATTACTGGATCTCAAAGTGGGGAATTGATTCACACTATGGAATGGACAGTCATTTAATTCTGAAATGATATTACAGGTATGCAATTTACAGATTGTTGTTTCTTGTGATTTGATGATAATAGATATTCGTGGGAGCTTTACTTCATGTACAGGCTCGTGAACAAGCTGTTAGATCTATGGTATGGAGTTACAATGAGAACTGGATGGTTACTGGGGATGATGGTGGCTCCATAAAGTAATTTTATGTTCAGAATTTATTTTAAGAAGTCCTCCTTTTGATTTTGTTCGCTAAACAATGATGTTTACCTGGTTGCAGGTATTGGCAAAATAATATGAACAATGTGAAAGCCAATAAATCTGCACATCGAGAATCAGTCCGTGGCTTAAGGTTATTGTTCACTTTTCAAAGGCAGTTATTTGATAATGATTCTCTCTTTTTCTGTATCTATTTGTTTCCATAATCATTAGAAGGAGATTCACGATTAGCAGCCATACCAGGCAGGCCAGTACTACAAGTTGGCTTGATTCAGGAATAAAATTTCTTTGACCTTTTTGTTTTTTTATTGCAATACTTCTTACTTCAAATTTATTTTCTTAAACAGCTTCTGCAGGACAGATTTGAAGTTCTGCTCCTGTTCTGATGACACTACCGTGAAAGTATGGGACTTTGCCAGGTGCCAAGAGGAGAGCTCATTGTCTGGTAATGTCCTCATATTTTAAAAATTGTCTGGAAATGTCGTCATATTTTTGAACACATTTAAGAATGAATTTTGAGGTCCCAGATAGGTTAGCTCTGTGCTCTAAAAATGTCTCGACTTATTGAGAGAAGGATAAATACCCAGTTTCCAAACCAGTATTAGGAAACTGACATTTAATTTTGAAATTTATCTTCCTTGGATGATTGAACTAAGCAACAAGAATTAAGTGGGACTTCATTCCTTATTTAAAATGCTGGTATGATACTCAAATATACAACGTGTATGTTATTCTTCTGCCTAGTGTCCTCGCAGACTAGCAAATTATATGTTGATTTATAGCATGTTTTGCCAAACTTATAAGGTGTTTGTAAGCTTAGCAACATATGCTCTTGGTGTTGTCTGCTTTTCTGGCAAATTTTCGAAGTATGCCGATATGAGATTACTTAACATTTTTGTCTTCCAATGTTCCTCATAACCCTTTTTTTTGTATTTTCTCCAATTTCTTTCTGTTTTTGAGTTTTTCTTTTTGTCAGTACACGTTCCCTACAAATAATGGTCTTCTTTATTTTTTTAAACACCATCTACAAGTTAAATAAGAAGCATAATAAGTATCTTGCCATAAAGAACATTGTTAACATTTGAGTGAATATATTCTGATGACAATTGTTTTCCTCTTGAAATTCTGAATTTGCATAAAATGAAGATGATGCTTTCAATTGATGAATATTTATTCGTTTTTTTCTGGAATTACCATCATTGATGTTAATGTTATGAGGTTTTACCCTTTTTGTAAAATTTGCTACCTGTTCAGGACATTTAGTGATATATGGACCTCGAAATAATGTATAAAGTTGTTTTTAACTACTTTTGGAGGGATGACACATGTCTATCAGATCTATGCGTGTTAATGCATGCTCTAGATAACCTAAGAATATTCTTTTATGTCGATTGAACTCAGGCAGGCCATGGTTGGGATGTAAAATGCGTCGACTGGCATCCAACTAAGTCCTTATTGGTCTCTGGTGCGTGCTATTATCAGTTATGTTAACCGCTGTCGAATTTTTTCAGTTTTGTCAATTGTTATTTACTTGTTAATGGGCTTTTCTCAGGTGGTAAAGACAACCTTGTCAAACTCTGGGATGCTAAGTCGGGGAAAGAGCTCTGCTCATTGTTAGCAAATTTCCTTTTATCCCTTCGATATTTAAATTACACATAATTCTTATAGCTGGATTTAGTTGAGTATTCTTGTTTTGCAGTCATGGGCACAAAAATACAGTTCTTTGCACGACATGGAATCAAAATGGTAACTGGGTTTTAACTGCTTCAAAGGATCAAATTATCAAGGTGGGCCTCCTCTTTCTTCACTGCTAAATTATCTTTCATATTTCAAGGGTGGGGTCACCCTCCTCTTATTCTTTCTCCTTGACTAGCACTTCAAAAAGAAACCAAGCTGAAAGGAAACAGAATAAAATAGCTATGTGTTTCTTTTTATCTCCAGCTTTATGATATAAGGGCAATGAAGGAGCTTGAGTCTTTCCGCGGACATAGGAAGGATGTCACTGGTAGGGAAGCTCATCTCTTGCATAAGAACTGTCTTATTTTTACTGGAGAATGCATGCAACTGTGGACTTTTTCTTTTTCTTTCTCAATACTGCTAGCGTTTATTTGCCAAGTTATTATCCATTCCAACATGGGCCCTTGAGATCTACGTATATGAATTCCAGAAGTCCAATCATTTGAGCTGTTCTTTCAGTCGCATGAGCATAACAGGTTAGAGAAGGGAGGTGTGGACCAAAATTAACAGGGTTTGTTGTGGTTGCTAAGGATCTAGTTGTTGTTGATCTTCTAATAACTGTGCAATTAACCAAATGGAGTGATGAAAAAGGATTCAACACAGCTGGCCCAAATTTATTGAGAATAAGACTTAGTTTGTTGTTATGATTGCATGGATATAATTCATACTAGACCAAAGTACACTCCAGATAATTGTGAATGTCATCAAAATGACCCTTATCTGAAATGTTGAGAAAGAGAGAATGATGCTTGGACCAATAAAATGAGCAGCTTCTAAATTTAAAGCATTTGGTGGTTTATTATGCTGCTTTATTGGAGGCAAGTATTCTTCATTGGTCATTGAAATAACTTCGCATCAAATGTATACTTTCTCGTTGCTTTTTTGTTGTAATGTCTGGCGTATGTGATTCATACTAACTCATGCACAAAAGCTCTCTTTTTTCTTGTTTCATTCTTTATGATACTCATATTGCATTTATTTGTTCACTGTAATAGCACTGGCTTGGCACCCATTTCATGAAGAATACTTTGTTAGTGGGAGTTTTGACGGATCAATTTTCCACTGGCTAGTTGGGTAAATTCTTTGCTTTGTTCCTGGAAATTTCACCAGTTACATTACATTGTCAAATTTCAAATTGAGTATGTCAATTGTAGTTTGTTTTCATATTTTTAATTCTTGAAATACTTTCAAGAGAATGTGGAATAAAATTTACAATGCTCAATGAATTAAATCTTCTTTGAGATTTCTTGTGGTTAGAGTTTTGAATGGAGCTTCTAATTTTTTTGTTATGAGTGTTTCACTAGGGTGAGATTCCTTCTAAGGTAACATGTTTGTACAATGTTAGTAAATGCAGTATGTGTTGTTTTAATCTTTTGATCATCGCTGCAAGCCCTTGGTATTTCATATTCTGTAACATAATATATTTTAACCTATTTTTTTAAGACTGGGAATTTCAAACTCATAATTTTGACATTCATGTATGAACTCCTTCCCAATTTGGATAAACTTTGTTACTAGCAGTCATCCTTCTAAAAACTCCATGAAATGACAGTAATTTTGTGTATACTATGTGTAGGACCCATCTTTTATTTGTGGTTTCTAACTATTTTCACATGAATTTCATGCTTCATAACTACCCGATCCTTCCACACACTGTAATTAACATGCAAAAGTTTTACCTTCAAATCTGCATGTTTGATGCTGAATCCTTGTATGTATCTTCATTCTTCACCTTTCACCCATTACGCTGACAATTCTCACTTGTGTGAAAAAGAAGTCCAATAAAGAAGTTGATAGAACAGAAATACAGTAAAATTTTATCCTCTTTCCTACTAAGATTCCTTTTATCTGTTTTTCCTCGCTTCTTTAATTGTTGGGGAAGGGGGAGTTAGCATGGGACAAAAAAATTTGAGCTATAATCTTTGTTTTCCAATTCTGAATAAGTGTTACATCGTGCACTTAATTTCTGTGAAATGCTCAAATGAGTTTGTTATTTGATAGTGTTCAACTTTGGAATATCTGGTACTCGTCGCTCATGAGCACCTAAATTTTCTGTGGGCAGGCACGAAGATCCCCAGGTTGAGATACAAAATGCACATGATAATAGTGTTTGGGACCTCGCTTGGCATCCTATTGGATATATTCTTTGCAGGTACCATTTACGATGAACTATCTGACTTCTAAGCGTCATTAAGCCTGAACCGTGTTTGGATGTGTTCTGGTTGCATCATTCCATGGAGCTGCAAAATACAATGACAAATCAGCTGCCATTTTCTTCTACTTTTCATCTTAATTTTATCTGCCATGCATGGTGCTGTTGCAAAAAAATTACTAAATCATTATTGAGCTTCAATATCATTTTATTTAATAACTGTCTTTAAACATTTCCGAATGTAATGACATTTATCAAACTACTCAAATTATTCTGGAAATATAGGTCTCAGAAGTAGCACTTAATGTAAAAGTTCAAATGATCTTAAATTGCTTCTGAAGTTACATTACCAATAATTCATAATCATAACCTTCTTGTGTGCAAAAAATAGAAAATGTCTACATGAATTCTCTTTTGTAAAATTTCAATCATATTAACCTTCCAGAATTTTGCACTCATGACATTTATTCATAAAAGCTTTTGCTGAATTCTGGTTATAGAACATTGCTATCATCTCACTAGCAGGTTTTTTTTTTTTTTTAATTTCTGTTTTTGAGATTATTATTACATGGTAATCTTCTTTTACCATGCACGCTCCCCTAGTAAGTTATGCTGGTATATATGCTTTGAAAAAATGCGCAACTTATTTTGTATGAATTAAGGTTGTTTTATGCTATGTACATATTATAGATTTCCCATGGATTGAAACTGTTCTGGTGTACAAGATTAACTTCTGATTGTTGTAGTTTGCATTTAGTTTCTATCTTGTTTTCCATTAGATCCAATGTATTAGCTGTTGCTACAATGCAGTGATTATCATATCTTCATTAAACCAATATTATTTTTGATGCAGTGGTGGCAATGATCATGCTACCAAATTTTGGTGTAGAAACAGGCCTGGGGATGCTGCTCGTGATAAATTCAACATTGGGGCAAACCGAGGTTTATGCTTATTTTCACTTCTCAAGTATATCTTGTGTTTGTTTTTGCTGCTACTATACTGGCACACTTCATTACCTTCGGTTATTGATTTTGATTCTATATATTTTTAGATCTACGGCATTAGATAAAGAATTGTATCATTACAATAAATCCCTGATGCATTTTTGTGCATTTCAGTTGTCAGCATTTTTTCTTTAGTGGAAAATTGGCACTGTTTCCTCGACGTTTGATGAGTAACATTTTTATTTTAAATTAATGGGCTTTGATTCATTTTATGTCTATTTCCTGATTCTGATCTTTTTCTCACAAATTAACTGACAGCGCCTTTTGAAATAGTTTAGTATTGGGATAGAAAATCTGCTGGAATTATTCTCATTGAGTAAATTCTTTGTTGGTTTGCAGGTTTTGGTGAGCAAAACCCTGCTGTGGGAGGTCGCATACAAGGTCAATTCCCAATGCCTGTGCCCCCCACAATTCCTGGACCATTTGGAGCTGGTTTGACACGAAATGAGGGAACAATCCCAGGGGTTGGAGTTGCAATGCCCCTATCTTCTCTTGACTCGTCTGCTCAAGGAGAGCAGAAACTACCTATGTCTTTAGGAGCTCCTCCTCTTCCTCCTGGTCCACATCCATCTCTCCTTTCGGGCAATCAACAGCAGCCTTATCAACAAAATTCTCCACAACAGCATCAATCCCTACCTCAGCAAAATTCCTCTATGCCATTGCCACCTAATATGTCTCAGCTACAACCTCCTTCCCATTTACATATGTTACAACATCCTCATTTACCTCGCCCTCCACCCCAGCTACAACCACATAATATGCCTTCAAATATCCCATCTTCAATTCCAGGATCTCTGTCCATCCAATCAATGCCCATGCCTGGTCCTATGGTACTAATAGGCATTTACTGCTTTGCCAATCTTTTAATTTGAACTTTTATGGTTTATGAATTTTTTACAGTTTCCTCTGTGGGTGCATGTTCACATGAACAAATGGAATACATGTGTATCAGTGTATGTAAACTAGTATTGCTCTAGGTTTTCTGTTCTCTTCTTATTCCCTGTTTGGTTTAGCTAAAAGTCAGATGTTTAGTAGATTTTGATAAAAGTTGATGAAATGTGTGGTTGAAAATGAGTTTAAGGAAAAATGAGTTTTAGAAAACAAGGGCTTAGTGTTCTGCTTAGGGTCNCCCCCCCCCCCCCCCCTTTCCCTTTATAGAGAAGGGGAAGCTAATATTTCTGCTTTATAATGATTTTGAATTGCCTTTGATTGACTTGTATTCATATCTTTAGGGGATACAAGGTGGTATGAATCAGATGGTTCCTCCATCACCTCAAGGTCACTTTATGGGCATGAATCCCATGCCTTCTGGATCTGGACCACAAGGAAATATGCCTCCAGGTGGAATTCCAAATGGGATGCCAAATATGCAGGGTCCTCCTAATGCAAGTGGCAATCAAATGTACCCCCCAGGTGGTGGCTTCGGCAGGCTGCAAGCTGGACAGATGCCGATGATGCCGGGACTTAATCCTTACCAGGTGAGAGAATATATATCGTCACCATGCTGACGTATGGCTTTCTTATCCTGATTCATTTGTAAGAACAAGGAGATCACATTCAACAACGAGAGTTCTATATTTCCATTGATTTGCTATTTGTGATACAATCATGCAGCTGATGTATTCTATGGTCTTCCGTAATATACGTTGTTTTCTCATGCCTGTTCCTTAATTTTGAGCATGTTGAATTTTTTATTTTTTTGGCTGTTTTTTGTTGCCCTTATTATGTGATTTGAGGACCAGGCAAGTGTTCTGTAGATTTCAAATGCAGGAGAATCATGAGTGGGACATTCCTCTGAGAGTTGGATGTGCTTACTGTTTGGACTGCCAATTAGATACAATGATGGTCGAGTCGAAGTACTATAAATTGTCCTAGGTTATATGTGTACTTTTTGAAGCTCTGAAATTTCATTTTTAATGCGTGCATTCTAGAAAATATAAGCGAGGGACGACTTTGTTTATTACAGAAGAACATAATTTTGTTCTTTGTACTCTGTTGAATCATTTCTTTAGCTCTGTCGAAGCTAATTCAGTGTTATACTTTGTCTCTGCAGTCTGGAAATACAAATGCTCCTGGAATGCCATCGAATTTTGGTCTTTCATCCGGGACTCCTCCACTGCCTCCAGGTCCCCCACCACACGGTCAACCACATCAGTAGACATGAGTTCGTCTCATTTCTTTTCAATCATGGCGAGCCAAAAAGGCATTTGGGTAGGAGGTTCCACCCCATATTTCCCCCCCCCCCCCCCCCCCCCCCCCCCCCCCCCCCCCCCNCCCCCCCCCCCCCCCCCCCTCCGCTCCCCTCCCCTCCCTCATTCACCCATGTATATCATATATTTATAGGTTGCTGAATTTTTCAATTGTTTGAACGAATGTAGTGTCATCGTATTTATGCTAGTTTGTTGATTTTCTATGGTTTATTTTCTTAGTTAAATTTGCAATTTCTAGTCTACTAGTATATTCTGCTGGTCATTCATTTAGGATTCGTCTTATTTATGGCTGGCGGTATGACTATTGATAGTGTGTTACATTTTTTCCCTTCAGGGCCTTGAATAATGAATACTCCAAACAGTAATTTCAAGATTAGGTAATAACAAAAAAGGTAACATCAGGCTTGCTATTCTGAACTTGCTGACCTCTCAATATATTCGACACTTCGACCTCTTCCTACTAGGGAAAGAGATGCCAAGGTTTAATGTGTTGGGGCGTCAATGGAAAGGACAGCAAGTTGAGAACAAGTGTTTGGAATTTCCTACATCATATCATATTTAAGTAATGTTATTCATAGTGATTGATTACAGTATTCTTTCTAACAACTAATCGGAATCTTTTTCCTCCGATTCCATTAGGGAAGCTAATCTGTATGTCGGAAGGAAATTTGATTGTCCCAATTTTTCCTTTTTTATATTTTTACATTTTTGAAGAAAATCTCCAATAAATTTAGCTTGGATTTAATTGTGTTTTTGAAGTGTTTTATAACGTTTTAAACTGTAAATAAATAAAAAAGAATAATGGATGAATGTGCTTTACTTATAGAGCGCTCGATATCGTATTTCATACTCAGCTCAAAGTCCCAACATGGGTCATGAGGCGAGATACGCTCAGCTAGACATAAACTTTATGCACGGTGTGGTGTGTTCATAAGTACCGGGATATGCTACCTTTTATTTCTCAAATTATACAAATTGTGGGTTCCACATAATAATTGTGGCTCCTAATTTATCTACTTTTTAAAAGAAGCAATTTTTAAGAATAACCGAACAAGATTCGATGTAATACATTTTAGAATGGAGAAGTCAAATGTGCATGTCAAGACAAGGAGAAGCCAATCTATACAATAGTGATGGCAAAGGGGCAGGACATCCCCACGCGCCCTGTCCCACTTTAGATGGGGCAGGTGTGGGGGCACCTGCCTGCCCCGTTTCCTGCCCCATTTGTTAGTTTTTTTTTTTAATTTTCAGTTAAAATACAAATTCAAAATTTTAAAATTCAAAACAAATAATGTTCAAACTAATTATATCAATATCCAAAGCAAGAACTCGAAATAAAAAATGTCCAAAACAAATAATGTTCAAAACGGGGCGGTGAACTCCGGCCTGCCCCACCAACCCGTTCGGGGCGGGACAATTGGCAAACTGATAATCATTAGCAAAATTCGAAAGTAATATTAGGTTAGGAGGTGAAGGAATAAAAATATAATTTATTGGTTAAATGGAAATGTGACAGACGAGGACGTTAATATGCAAAATTTAGCCCCCGTTTGGTGCACATTTTGAAAGTAAGAATGCATTTTTACTGTTGATGTGATATGGAATATGTGGTTGAAAAAGAAGAAAAAATTATTAATGTGATGAAAAATATTATTTTAATGAAAAACGTGTGATTGAAAATGAATAAAAGAATGAGAAAAAAAGATAATGTGGACCAAACATGGCCTTAATTGAGAGGAGTTACTCAAAATTTTAATGGGATTTTGAATTACAATTACTCGAGTAATCAAATTTGAAGGGTGGGAAAGGACATCCTAAAATCATGACTACTTTTTGCTGTATCGATGTCAACTCTAATGTGTCTTTTCTAAATTACGACCCATTGCATAGTCATTTATTATTTAGTGGAAGTTATTTATCCATTGAAAATTTATTCCAAATTAAATCTCGCGTATATTTGCTAATCTCAGTACATACTTGTAGGTTGTTAGAAAGTCTTCATCGTAGTAATTTAGTCCTATATATTTATTGTTCGTAAGTTACCAACGAGCCTGGTATACATGTTCAATATGAAAAGACTACGAGAAACGTGTAATAGTGATGTTTGTTATATGTTTCATCTTCGACGATAGTCATTTCTTACCAAGATGAATCATTCTTCTTCACTCAAAAATAAAGACTTAGAGTGTGTTTAGGACACATTCTTTTGAAAGAATGTATTATTAAATAGTAGATTGATGGAGAATGTGTGGTTAAAAATGAAGGAAAAGTTATTGATGTGATGGAAAATATTATTTTATTGAAAAATGTGTAGTTGAAAATGAGTAGAAGAATGAGAATGAAAAAAATAATGTGTACCAATCGGGGCCTAAAATTTATTTGCACAAGGAATCCCTCTATCACAAGGTCAGTCCTTGCCAAAGGGACAATTGAGTAATTTCTCAATTTTAAAAAGTCATAACACAATGAACCACTAGCAACATCATTGTTAATGGCCAACAATATGAAAGTATGACCTGACAAATAAAAATTAAGCGCTATTCGCTCATTTATTTCTCTTCTTAACCTTTCAAAATTTGCTAATATTGTAGTTCTTAAGGTATTTTTAGATAGATGGTTCTCTATAATTTTTTCAACCTTTTCTATTATTCTTATTTACCAGGGCTTCATCAATTGAAATTTTAATAAAATTTAGAAGATTATATCAGAGTGTCCTCAATAGAGATCTTATGAATTTTAAAAGATTATAATTTCTAATGAAATTTGTGAATTCAAATAGATTTTCAAACAATCCATAAGAATCACGTTAAAAATGATGAAATTTTTAAATAAAAAATTCATTTATATTTTTAGAGTAATGTTATACAGAACCAATGTGGCAACACGTGATATGTTTAATTAAATCCCCGTTTGTTTCTGATTAAAATCAGATTTTAATTTAAGTCAAAGTCAAACAATTAATATTAACCACATCTTTCATGTGTTCCACGGTTTTTCAACCACACATTTCAAAAACTTCTATTACAATATATTAAAACTCTAATTTTAATCCCCACCAAACACCCTTTTAATGAGTTTCAGAACCCCACATTAAAATAGATTTATCCTACGTGTCACATGGGGGTGGTGTTTTAGTACCAGTGATACTATTGTCTTGTTTGAAAGAGCTTTTAATCAATTTTTTTTTAAAAAAATTCATTTATATTTTTAGAGTAATGTTATACAGAACCAATGCGGCAACACGTGATATGTTTAATTAAATCCCCGTTTGTTTCTGATTAAAATTAGATTTTAATTTAAGTCAAAGTCAAACAATTAATATTAACAACATCTTTCATGTGTTCCACAGTTTTTCAACTACACATTTCAAAAATTTCTATTACAATATATTAAAACTCTAATTTTAATCCTCGCCAAACACCCTTTTAATGAGTTTCAGAACCCCACATTAAAATAGATTTATCCTACGTGTCACATGGGGGTGGTGTTTTAGTACCAGTGATACTATATAAAATTATTCATATTTTTAAACTTGAAATCTATCTAAATCTTTTAAAATCTCCTTATTAATAAAATCCTTATAAATGTACAAGTTATAGAAAATGCCCAATTTCATTAAAAAATCATTAATAACATAATTGAGAATACCTGAATTTAGAAGGATTTTAAAATTTCATTAAAATCTCAGTTGAGTGCACCCCTTAAATTCTACCAAATTTCGTTAATTTGACTAGATTTCTATAGAATTCATAAGAATCTAATTAAAATGGTGACTTTTATTAGATTGAAAAATTAGCTGTTATTGTTGACTTTTATTAGATGAGTGAGACCCATTAACGACTATATTTTCAATTTTAAACTTAGTCAAACATGCTCATAACTTAAGTGATAAAAAGCATCTTTATGTACAAAGACAAAAATACCGTCCATTTCAAAATTAACCCATCTGAATTTCAAATTTATGGCCGGGAGGAAGAAATCCTTCAGAGACTCGACACCAATCCACTTCTCCAACACTACAAACCAATTTTTTTGTCTAAATTATAAAAAAAAAATAACCCAACAACATTATAAGCAAAACAATAAAAAAATTAGAAACTAATCAAACAAAATGAAGAAAATAACCATTAATATAATTCTACCACACAATATGAGAGATGAAGATAAATATAGAGATGAAGATGGGGATGAAGATGAAGACGAAGTTTGATGAAGAAACCATCAATGAACGATTTATGGTAGGGGATGATTTCTTGCCTCTTCAAATTTTAACGTTCAAAATTGGGGTAAAATGGATATTATATTTTTTAAAACTTAAATATATGTAATAAATAATAAAAAAGAGTCAAAGAGTATTGTGAAAAATGGATCGAGTTCGACCATTCTTCACTAATTCCTCCCCCATTTGGAAGCACACAATAATGGACCACTATATCCACTCAGTATGTCGAAATTCAGAGCTTCCAAATAAATCAAGAGTGACAATGAAAGTGTTTCATCTGACTTGTCATCATATGGAGCAATAGGCGAGGAGTTTGTCATTTGTTCACTGAATTTATACGTTTTGGTTGACCTTGCATCGTTGTCAACGAATAATCGAATAAAAAAACTGTTTAAAATTTAAACTGTCTAATTGGATATCTTTCGCAGCAAAGTGTAAATATAGTAAGGTTTATATGGCAAAGCCATTGTAATTATTAAGTAATTTCGAAAATTTAAGGGAGCAAGACAAACTAAAAAATAGCCCATTATATGTACGATGATATCCAGAAATTACACGTGTCATATGTGAACTTACACGTGTAAATTCGAATTAAGATTGAGCATTTGGACTTTAGCAGGATGCTAATTGTAATTATACGATCCACTCAATTTATTTCCGTTAGTTAGATTCAGTTAAGAAAAAGGTAAATAAACTAAATGCAGTTGTTTGATTGTTATCAAACGATCTAGTAGTTACACGTACGTTAGAGCATTGAGGACGACAAGTAAAATAAAAATAAAATTAGTTTTTTAGAACTTTAACGAAATCTTGAGTTTGATAACTTGTGCTGCTCGATTTGTTTGGTTGGCTGAATCCAACCAAATCAATTAATCAGAATGAATACACTGTTTTATACACGCCTCCCAAACATTGGATCCTTAAAGACATTTTAAAACCACCTTGGCACTCCCCTGCTAACACTTTCTCAGTCGAACCTGCCGGAGCGGACTTTCCTAGTGCTATTTACCTCTCCTATGTGGTTTGCGGACTACTACACATGGAGCAGGATTTACCTAGTGCGTACTCACAGTGGTTGGGCCTCTGCCCCTTCGAGGTGATCGGGGCTTCGTTGTCGGGTAGTGACTGCGAGTTCTTATGTCAACAAAGAAAAAATGATTAATTTACTTGTACATTCACTGTGTACATTTTCGATGACATTCCATTGGGTGTAAAAATCGAGGCAATTGATTTAAATAAGTATTGGAGAAATCAATAACAAAATTGATTGCCACATCATAAAATGTCATCCAAAGTGTCAAATGGAATTTATGTGTTACGAACTAAATTAAAAATGTACTTTTACTACGTGCAATATGAGATGTGGCCCGTTAGACACAACTTTTGAAAATTTAACTGTTTTTAAGATTAAAAAATTGCTTTTGAAAAATGTCAAAGTCCGTGTTTGGTTTGAATTAAAATTCAATTAAAATCTCAAGTCAAAGTTAACAATTCATTTTAACCACACATTTTATGGGATCTACAACTTTGCAACCACAAATCTCATCAGTTTTTATCAAAATTTACTAAAATTCTGATTTTAATCTCTACAAAACAGGAGCTAAATAATTTTTTAGAAGTACTTTGTTTGGCTAGAATAATTTTTAGAGGAAATTGATCTAAATATTGACAATCATTATTTGAAAAAAACAATGTTTTAAATAGTGACATTTAGGAAAGCGTGTGATTAAAAAATAAGAAAATGTTTTACATTTACGTGAAGAATATTTTATTCTGTGCATGTGATTGAATATGAATATATAGAAAAAAGAGTTCCAAACAACCACGTATTCCATCTATTCATAATCTTCTTACCATTTTTACCCACGTAAAGTTCCCTATAACCCTCCATATGTAGGTATAATTGTCCATGATTTAAAGGGTAATTTAGTCAGTTTGTTCCACATAATTTCCTCCCACATCCCCTTTACATGTCCATTGTTCTTACCTTTTGTACCTATTTTACCCGAAGGAATTTACAAATCTTGAGGCGAATTTTAATGTATTTCCCTCTAGTTTTTAAGGGTGTTTTAGTCAATTGATAGTCACCAGAGTACAGTCTACCAGTGTATTTTACAACAAATGAAGAGGGTGGAGCTCACGGTCACCTCAAAAAATTTAAACCACTTATAAGCTAAGACAAACAGGGAAAAAGTTATACAACCCAGCATCCTCCAATCTTTTTTGACAGTAAGCAAGCACAAAAACAACAGTGACAAGACCTCTAAAACACCCTTTACATCACACACACTCTCTCTGAAAATCCATTTTTTCTATCAAGAATATTTTGGCAGTTGAAATCGTGTTTGAATCAATTGCTTGGGTGATCCTGTACGGAGCAGCGAAGGAAAAGAAGCGCAACGGTGTGCATTTTCAAGGTAAGAATGGGTAGAGGAATGACTCGAGTCAATGTTCTAGTACACTACGGTATGGCGCTGAAGTAACTCACGCCAAGGGTAAAAACTGTATTTTTCACGTATTTGCATGTGGGGTTTTGCTCCAATTTGTATGTTTTTATTTGCTTTAGTAAACATCTATTATTATTATTAGTATTATTATTATT